ATATCAAGTGTAGTCTTGACAGTTCTCCAATTGGTCTTTTTTTTTTAATCCTCATCTGAGAACAAGCTTATTGATTTTAGGAAGAGAGGGAGAGAAACATAGATGCCTCATATGTGCCCTGATTGGGGACCAAACCTGCAGCTCAGGTATGTGCCCTTACATAGCAGCCTTTTGGTTCTCAGGTTGGTGCTGAGTCCACTGAGCCACACCAACCAGGTGTCTGTGGAGGTTTTATCCACTTAGCTCTGGTAGCTCTGCTATTCTAACCAGACCTGCGGGGAACCACAACACTGTGGATTATTATGGGCCAGACCTCTGGAGGCTATGTCCAGGCAGTCTTTTTTGAAAAATAATTTTTTTTAGTTAGTCTTTAGAAACCTAGCTTGTTGATAGTCTGGTTAGTCCTAAAATTTTACTCTAATATTCTATATACTATGTTGAAAAAGACTTTGTAAAAAAAGAAATTCACATCAATATTTAGTTTGAAGATGCTAAAAAGTGTTCATAATGGGGGGCAACTCCTGAATGGATATAGTGTGGGAATACCTTTTGGAGTGATGAAAATGTTTTGAAGTAGGTAGAGGTGTTGGTGACGGCGCAATACTGTTCACTGTAAAGCAGTTAACTTCATTTTATGTGATTTTCACACTAAAAACATGTTTATAATTTTATTAACAATGTCTTATTTATGAGCCTTTGTAAAGTGACTTATTTTTTGAGACAAAAATTAAGCATATTTGTTTTAGAGCATGTATAATGTACAGATAAATGAAAATAAGATCAGTTATCCTGTCTCAGAAATAACTACTCTTAATTTATTTATGGTATATGTTTATTAACAAAAATACATGAAAATTATATAAAATGTATTAAAAGACTGCGATAAAATAAATACATATACATTTTTACTTAAATAAAAATTTTTCTATTTAATTTCATAGTCTGAATATTTTTCTGTATATTTTAATATTCATCAGCAATTTTATGTAGATACAAAATATTCATCATGTGGGGGTATCATAGTTTTTCAATGAATCTTCTGTCAAACATTGAAGATTTCATACTGTTTCCTATTCTGAATAATAATAATCATTTAGCACTGAACAGTATTGTATCCAAATCTCAGTGTACTTCCATCAAATAATTTCCTTAAAATGAAATTTTGGGGCTAGGGATATATAGTTTCAAGGCTGTTGTGCACTGCCAAATTACCATTTAGAAATGTTGTACCAACATTTCAGTCATGTGAGGGAATAAATGAGTAGGCTCAAATTTATGACTATTTTTATAATTTGAAAGGATAAACAATAAAACCACACACTGAAATACCAGAAGTTAAGGAATATATAGAATGTTTGGCAACCTATCTTGTTTCCTCATTCTCTTAAAAATCATGTTTTATAGCATTTATTTCAGGAAAGTAACACACTAAATGTAGTTCTTACATAAAAACACATTAAGCTTTGGGTTATTTTCTTTTTAAAAAATGCAGGTATTATTATCATAAAATAAAAATGCCATTTTAAGTGTATAGTCTGATGAATTTTGGACATTGTATGCAATTACATTACCACAGTCACCATCACAGCATAGAATAGTTTCCTCACCCTAGAAAGTTTCTTCATAATCCTTTGCAGTTGAATCCTTCTCCCCACTCCCCTGATCCCCTCTGTCATCCCAGTCATTCATCTGCCTTCTGTCAATCTAGTTTTGTGTTTTTGAGAATTTCATGTAATTGCCATCATAAAGTATGTATGGTCTTTTCTGTTTGAAGTCTTTTTTAAAAAGTTAATTAAAAAATTGAATTTATTGGAAGGACTTCTGGCCAAGATGGAGGTGTAAATGGACACATTGTGTCTCCTCGCACAACCAAAATTAAGGACAACAAAAATTTAAAAACAAAAAAAAACCAACCCAGAACAGACAGAAAATTGAACTGTATGGAAGTCCCAACAACTGTTCATCCAGACCGGCAAGTGGGGCAGAGTTGGTGGCCGGCAGAGAGGGGTCCTGGCAGAAAAAAGCAGTGGCTGGCAGACCCTGGGCGCGGGCACAGGCAGGCAATGAGCAAACCCAGGGAGGCGCACAACCAGGGCCCCAGCTCTGGGAAATAAAGCCTAAAAGCACTGATTGAAAACACTTGTGGAGGTTGAGGTGCCGGGAGAGACTCCCAGCCTCATGGGAGAGTTCACTGGAAAGACCCACAGGGTCCTAGAATGCACACAAGCCCACCCACCTGGGAACCAGCACCAGAAGGGCCCAATTTGCTTGTGGGAATTGGCAGAGGGGACTAAAATCCCACAGAGAGAGGATCAAATGTCATTGTTCCCTCCCTGACCCCTTCCCCACATACAGTGTCACAACCCAGAGACGTGGGTTGACCCGCCCAGGGTAAACACCTAAGGCTCTGCCCCTCACTACATAAGAGGTAGGACCAGACCGCCCCCCGCCCCCACACACACACAAAGGCTCAAATGGAAGAACACATCAAAGAGTCAGAGCCAGTACTTTTAAGCAACCAAGAGATAGCCAGCCTATGAGATGCATAGTTCAAAGCACTGGTGATCAGGATGCTCACAGAATTGGTTGATGTTGGTTGCAAATTAGATGAACAAATGAAGGCTACACTAAGTGAAATGAAGAAAAATGCACAGGGAACCAATAATTACAGGAAGGAAACTGGGACTCAAACCAATGGAGTGGACCAGAAAGAAGAAAAAAACATACAATCAGAAAGAATGAAGAAATAAGAAGTGAAAAAAATGAGGAGAGACTTAGGAACCTCCAGGACATCTTTAGACATTCCAACATCTGAATTATAGGGGTACTAGAAGGAGAAGAGGAAGAGCAACAAGTGGAAAACTTATCTGAACAAATGATAAAGGAGAACTTCCCCAATCTGGCAAAGGAAATAGACTTCCAGGAAGTCCAGAAGCTCAGAGAGCCGCAAAGAAGTTGGACCCAAGGAGGAACACACCAAGGCACATGATAATTACATTAGCCAAGGTTAAAATGAAGGAGAGAATCCTAGAAGCAGCAAGAGAAAAGGAGACAGTCACCTACAAAGGAGTTCCCATCAGACTCAGCTGATTTCTCAAAAGAGACCTTGCAGGCAAGAAGGGGCTGGAAAGAAGTATTCCAAGTCATGAAAGGCAAGGACCTACAACCCAGATTGCTCTGTCCAGCAAAGCTATCCTTTAGAATGGAAGGGCAGATAAAGTGCTTCTCAGATAAGGTCAAGGTAAAGGAGTTTATCATCACCGAGCCCTTATTACATGAAATGTTAAAGGGACTTATTTAAGAAAAAGAAAATGAAAAATATGAACAGTAAAAAGACAGCAAACTTAGTTATTAACAACCACACCTAAAACAAAAGCAATCTAAGCAAATAGCTAGAACAGGAACAGAACCACAAAAATGGAGACCACATGGAGGGATAGCAACGGGAGTGCGGGGAGAAGAGAAGGGCAAAAGGTACAGAGAATAAGTAGCATAGATGGTAGGTAGAAAATAGACAGAGGGAGGGTAAGAATAGTATGGGAAATGTAGAAGCTAAAGAATTTATGACACATGGACATGAATTAGGGAGGGATGTGGGTAGGAGGGGGTGTGCAGGGTGGAGGGGAGTGAAGGGGGAAAATGGGACAACTGTAATAGCATAATCAATAAAATATATTAAAAAATAAAAACTAAAGTAAGTAAATATATAACCTAATGATAATAAATCAAACTTTTATGGAAAAAATTAAATTTATTGGGAAATCATTGGTTTATAACATTATATAATATCAGATGTACAACTTTGTAATATGACATCTGTATACTGTATTTGCTTACCACCCAAACTGTAGTCTTCTGTCACCATGTATTTGAATTCCCTGAGTTCTTTAGCTTAGCATATTTTTGAGATTCATATTCTTATAATGTTTTATTCCTTTTTATTGTTAGTAGTCTTTCACAGTATGGACATCTACAGTATATTCACCAGTTGATGAGTATTTGGGTTGCTTTCAGTTTTTGGCTGTCATGAGTAATACTGCCATGAACATTTGTATGTACATCTTTGTGTGGACATATGATTTTATTTCTCTTGCATAAAAACCCAGCAGTAGAATTTCTGGGTCATTAATAGTAATGTATGTTTAGCTTTGTTAGATACTGCCATATCGTTTTTGAAAGTGGCTGTACCTTTTGCATTACTGCCAGCAACGTATGAGAGATGCAGTTGTTCCACATCCTACCAACAGGATGTAGTCTTTTTAACTTCAGCTGTCCTTGTTGGTATGTAGTAGTATGTGTTGACTAATGATATTAGAAGTTTTGGATTTTAACATCTGTTTAATGAATGCTAGTATTATTTTGAAATAGTGGGAAGTGAAATAAGTATATATTCCTGCTTTGTGAGAACCGAAGTGGTGTTTGTAGTCATGTGTTCAAATGATCCCTGTGTAATTGTGGGCCCATCATACATATGTCATGATTTTAACAGTTCGGTGATATACAGCTAAATTTAGGTGTCTTCCTACCCTTAAGAGTGTAAGTTAAGCCCTGGTGGTGTAGCTCAGTCAATTGAGCGTGGGCCTGTGAGCCAAAAGGTCGCCCGTTCGATTCCCAGTCGGGGCACAAGCCTGGGTTGCAGGCCAGGTCCCTGGTAGAGAGCGCATGAGAGGCAACCACACATTGATGTTTCTCTCCTTCTCCCTCCCTTCCCCTCTCTCTAAAAATAAATTAAAAAAATATTTTTTAAACAGTGTAAGTTAATACTTCAAGTTTTTGTTTAGATTATGCTTGTTCTATGTCAGTAACTCATAAAAGCATTAGAGCGACTTGTGTTGATGAAAGACTGGTGATTTTGAGCCTTGTATTTCTGAGAACATGGTCATAGAGTTCTTTAGTTCTTGAATAATTAGTTTAGAAATTTTAGATGAATTCAGGGATTAGATTTAAAAGCAGTATGATTAAGAACAAATGAAGATTTGTCTCTTTTTTATCTTCCTTAGGATATTTTCTTTCCATCTCCAAGTTTGGAAGAACGATCAAATGATGGGAAGAAAGGTGGAGATTTGCATAGCTCATCTTTGATTGTCGAGTGTTCTAAAACTCCAGGGGTTGAACCAAAGAATTCCAGTGAGGATCTTGGGCTATCTTTGACAGGGGATTCTTGTAAGTTGATGCTTTCTACAAGTGAGTATAGTCAGTCCCCAAAGATGGAGAGCTTGAGTTCTCACAGGATTGATGAAGATGGAGAAAACACACAGATTGAGGATACTGAACCTGTGTCATCAGTTCTCAATTCTAAACTTGTTTCTGCTGAAAATGATAGTATCCTGATTAATCCAGTACAAGATGGCCAAGTAGAAGTGAATCAGAGTGCTGATGAAACAAAGGGGGATGACACAGAAACCAGAGATGACGTTAGCATTTTAGCTACTGATTGCAAAGGCAGAGAAGAAACTGTAGCAGAAGACATTTGTATTGACCTCACTTGTGATTCAGGGAGTCAGGCTGTTCCTTCTCCAGCTACTCGATCAGAGGCACTCTCTAGCATGTTAGATCAGGAGGAAGCTATGGAAATTAAAGAACATCATCCAGAGGAGGGGTCGTCAAGTTCTGAGGTGGAAGAAATTCCTGAGACTCCCTGTGAAAGTCAAGGAGAAGAGCTGAAAGAAGAAAATATGGAGAGTGTCTCATTACACCTTTCTCTGACTGAAACGCAATCCCAAGGGTTGCATCTTTCAAAGGAAATCTCAAAACAAGAATGTCAGGAAGCTATGGAAGTTGAAACCAGTGTTGATTCCCCCCAAAAGCTTCCAGTACTTGACCAAGAATTGGAACATAAGGATCAAGAAGCATGGGAAGAAGCTACTTCAGAGGACTCGAGTGTTGTCATTGTAGATGTGAAGGAACCGTCTCCCAGAGTTGATGTTTCTTCTGAACCTTTAGAGGGAGTGGAGAAATGCTCAGATTCCCGGTTGTGGGAGGATGATGCTCCAGAAATAGAACCATGTGCTGAGAATAGAGTTGATACCCAGGAAGAAAAGAGTGCTGAATGTGAAGATCTGAAATCAGTGACTACAGTAAAAGAACCTGTAGCGGCTGACTCTTTACCTCCCATGACTTCAGTAAGAGCAGACGATGCTCCAAAACCTGATCAGCAAGTGCAGCAGACCCAACCTCAAGAGAAAGCAGATAACTTACTAACAGAAGACTCAAAAATGGCTAATACAAAGAAGCTGGGCTCAGGTGTAGAAGCTCAGAAGCTGGAGAAGGCCTCTGCCCACACCTCGCAAAGCTTCTGTGAAAGCTCTAGTGGTGAGTGTGATTGTAAATTCTGTGTCTCCAACCAAATTACAATTTGGAATGGAAGGTAGGAGAGAACTGCATGCTTATGTCAGGGCTGAAAATTAACTTGGATTTTTTTTTTTATAAATAGCTACTAATAATTGGGAAATTAAAAAATTTGGGTTGTATTCTTTTGTAGCTGTAATTTATGAAATTAGAGATCATTTGATTTTTTTTAGCTTTATAACTTAGGAGTAATCAACATGAATTTTATAAATATGTGGAAATTAATACCAGTCTGGTATTTCTACTAAGGTCCCAGTCTTGGTCCAAATTTTTCTGTTTTGACAGTTGCCTTTAAGTACAAGGATCTTAGAGTAAAGTCATACTCAGACCTCTATTAATGACTGCGCCTGTATTGGTTATTTCCTCTTTATGGTTATTAAATAAAGTTTTTAAATTTGGTTCAACATATACACATCTTAAACCTTAAACTGGAAAAGATGCTAGTATGTGCCCTTTATCTATTTTATGAAGTCCAGATGGGAATATAGATTACTTCTGAAATATTTGTAGAATATAATATATGATGTTGGCTGAAAAGAATTCAAACTTTCTAAATGCCCAGAGTTAGTGTAATTTAAAAACAAAACAAACTTCAAAAAAAAAAATAAAAACAAAACACAAACTTAAGAAAATAAGCCTCTAGGGTTATGGAAAGGAGAAACAGTATTTGGACACATCATAGCTATTAGTGTGAGTGATTATACCTTTTGGTGTTCCTGTAACAGTCCCACTTTATACCTCTTGTGTAGATGTGATTATTAGTAGTGTTTATTTATTTATACCCTCAAAATTATCCCTATTTGTTAGGTTTTATATTCAGGATTTTCTTTTCTCTTCAGAGTGAGAAATGTTAGAACTGAAAAGGAGGTTAGGGGTTATTGGGTTCAGTCTCTTCTCCTAAAGTCATGTGGCTAATAAACGATTGAAGTGGGAGAAAACTCTAAGTCACCTGATTCTCAGTGCTGTGCTTTTTCTCCTGTGACACTGTATGGTTTCTCTGATTCTGATGAGTTATAGTAAAGGACTATCTGAATGACCTAATATTTTGTATTATTGAATATTTTTGTAATTTCATCCTATCTAAATACTGTTACTGACCTACCTAGTCTAAGGAAGTATCAGGGCATGTAGATTGTTTCAATTTGGTTACTTAGGAGTACTTTTTAATTATCTTAACAATTGTATGCTAAAGAAGCTTCTAAAACATTGGGTTATTAGTTCTATTATGTTAATAGTATTCTTCATGAATTCTTGTTTATCCTATTTATTAATGGGCAGAGCCAGCTCTTTTTTATAATAGACATTGCTGAAGTAAAACTTATTTTACTACTATTTATGTAGATTATTAAGTCCTGGCCAAGTGGCTCTGTTGGTTGGAGCATTGCCCAGGCACCATCAGTTTGTGAGTTCAGTCCCTAGTCAAGGCACATACCTAGGTTGCCGGTTCTCTCTTGTAGGGGCTCTGGGGGGGAGGCAGCTGGTTGACATTTCTCTCTCTCACACACACCCAGCACACACTTCCTACCTCTCTCAAAATCAGTAAATATATCCTTGGGTGAGGATAGAAAAATTAGATTATTGAAAATACTAGTAAGTTATATTCTGTTTACTTCAAGAATTAATTCTTGAGCAAACAACTAAAAGCAGTGAAGACAGTGGTTTGACTGTTAGAGGATTAAAGTAAATCATTGGTAAGAACATTGCTGGAACAAAATAATATGATTTTATACTTAAAATGTGGTTGTGTAGTTGCTAAACCTTAAGAGAGCCTAATTTAAGTGAGAGGAACTTAAGAAGGTAATGGTTCTGGAAAGGTATTAATTGGTTGAGTCCCAGGTTTTTTCATTAGATTTCTGTATGTTAAGTTAAAAGGGTACTTTTTTTTCTTTTTCTTTTTTCTTTCTTTCTTTTTTCTTTCTCTTTTGGTTAAAAGCTTTACTGATTGAAACATGCTTAATTGTGGAAAATGGTCAACTAATAGAGGAAAGAGAGGAGGGTGGCCAGAGAGGGAATGGGGGGTGTGAGGCAGTAGAGGGAGAAAAGGAGAGAATGACTCTAAATGCTTCTATTTATAGATAACTTGTCACTGTTAATAATTTGGAGACCTCTTTAGACATGTCTCTGAAGACCTATTCCTGAAATTTGAACAAAGCAAATTTTAAAAAATATATTTTATTGATTATGCTATTACAGTTGTCCCATTTTCCCCCTTCACTCCCCTCCACCCTGCACACTCTCCCACCCACATCCCCCCCTTTAGTTCATGTCCATGTGTCATAAGTTCTTTAGCTTCTGCATTTCTCATACTATTCTTACCCTCTGTCTATTTTCTACCTACCATCTATGCTACTTATTCTCTGTACCCTTTCCCCTTCTCTTCTCCCCCCACTCCCGTTGCTATCCCTCCATGTGGTCTCCATTTTTGTGGTTCTGTTCCTGTTCTAGCTATTTGCTTAGATTGCTTTTGTTTTAGGTGTGGTTGTTAATAACTAAGTTTGCTGTCTTTTTACTGTTCATATTTTTCATTTTCTTTTTCTTAAATAAGTCCCTTTAACATTTCATGTAATAAGGGCTCGGTGATGATAAACTCCTTTACCTTGACCTTATCTGAGAAGCACTTTATCTGCCCTTCCATTCTAAAGGATAGCTTTGCTGGACAGAGCAATCTGGGTTGTAGGTCCTTGCCTTTCATGACTTGGAATACTTCTTTCCAGCCCCTTCTTGCCTGCAAGGTCTCTTTTGAGAAATCAGCTGACAGTCTGATGGGAACTCCTTTGTAGGTGACTGTCTCCTTTTCTCTTGCTGCTTCTAGGATTCTCTCCTTCATTTTAACCTTGGCTAATGTAATTATCATGTGCCTTGGTGTGTTCCTCCTTGGGTCCAACTTCTTTGCGGCTCTCTGAGTTTCTGGACTTCCTGGAAGTCTATTTCCTTTGCCAGATTGGGGAAGTTCTCCTTTATCATTTGTTCAGATAAGTTTTCCACTTGTTGCTCTTCCTCTTCTCCTTCTAGTACCCCTATAATTCGGATGTTGGAACGTCTAAAGATGTCCTGGAGGTTCCTAAGTCTCTCCTCATTTTTTTCACTTCTTATTTCTTCATTCTTTCTGATTGTATGTTTTTTTCTTCTTTCTGGTCCACTCCATTGGTTTGAGTCCCAGTTTCCTTCCTGTAATTATTGGTTCCCTGTGCATTTTTCATTTCACTTAGTGTAGCCTTCATTTGTTCATCTAATTTGCAACCAACATCAACCAATTCTGTGAGCATCCTGATCACCAGTGCTTTGAACTATGCATCTCATAGGTTGGCTATCTCTTTGTCCCTCAGTTGTATTTTTACTGGAGCTTTGATCTGTTCTTTGATTTGGACCATTTTTTAATTTAATTTAATTTTTTGTCTTTATACGCCTGTTATGTAGTGAGAGCGGAGCCTTAGGTATTCACCCTGGGTGGGGCAGCCCACATCTCTGGGTTGTGACACTGTATGTGGGGAAGGGGTCTGAGAGGTAACAATGGTGCTTGCTCTGCTCTTTGCTGGATTTCAGTCACTTCTACTGCTTCCCCCAAGCAAACTGGGCCTTTCTGGTGCTGATTCCTAGGTGGGTGGGCTTGTGTGCGTTCTAGGACCCTGTGGGTCTCTCCAGCAAACTCTCCCGTGAGGCTGGGAGTCTCTTCCAGCACCTGAACTCCCACAGGTGTTTTCAATCAGTGCTTTTAGGCTTTATTTTCCAGCGCTGGGACCCTGGGTTGCGTAGTCTGTCTCACTCCCCAGTTTCGCCTGGTTTATCTGCATGCGAATGTGGGACTGCCTGGTCCTCCAGCCACCTTGTGTGTGATGGCTCTCCACAATCCGCCGCCTTGCTGGGTCCACCTGCTGCCGCCTTGCCTGCTTGAGGTCTGCCAGCCACCGCTTTTTTTTTTTTTTGTAGTGATCCCTCTCTGCCTGCCTCCACCTCTTCTCCTGGTCTAGAGAAATGTATCTACTTTCACTCCTTGGTTGTCGGACTTCCATACAGTTCGATTTTCTGGCAGTTCTGGTTGTTTTTGTTTTTAAATTGTTGTTGTCCTTCTTTTGGTTGTGCGAGGAGGCACAGTGTGTTTTCCTACGCCTTCATCTTGGCTGGAAGTCTCGGAACAAAACAAATTTAAGAGGATGATACTTGGAAGGCCAACCTTATTCATTATAGAATAAATTTATGATGGTTTGATGATGTGAAAAATCACAAGAAGTTTAATAAGTCTTTAATGAAGTCCACAAGTAGTGGTATGTGATAGGTTAATAATAATCAGTGAAGCCAGACATGTCTTGTGCTCTAGCTCCAACACTTGTTGGCCTACTTTATCGAATATCATCCTAATTGGCCATTAATGCCAGAGACAGACTCTTAGGGTAGACTGTGCATGGCGTCACCCAAATATAAATTCTATCTTTTGTATTTTTCTTCATTATAGAAATTCTTACATATTTATGTAGAGGGCTCTAGATCATTTGTGGAAGGTGACCAGGTCTTCTCTTGAGAACAAAAGAAAAGATGGGCTTTATGCTGTAACAGGAAGTTAGAAGTAAGAGAGACCTTACTGACATTAAAGGTTTTAAATTTTGCTTTGGACTAATGAATATCTAAAGTCTTCAGTAATAAGTACAAACTCCCCACTTAGATGGTTTAAGAATTGGTATTAAATTTTCTTTTGTTCATTCATATCTTTCTTAATTGGTGGGCATGCTGGCATACATTAGAATAAACCATGATAACCTGGGAAATCAAGAAGGGACTTAGGTGACTTAAATAATGTTGGCATGCTAAATCTTACAAAATGAATTGAATATGGTGAAAGTTTCTGTAAATTTAAGGGGGTAAAATATTATTTTGCAGGATTCATTGCTAATTTGATTAGATTAGTATTGTGTTTCAGATGAGTGAACAAAAACAGAGAAATGGGAAAGCACTTGGAGGACATTGAATAG